AAAGATCCTCAGAATACCACAGACAAAGAATTAAAGAACTAAAAACATCTTAAAAGATCTGAACGTCAAGGAAGATTGGCTAGTAAATAGCATCTTGAATACTACAGTACCAATAAAATAAAGAAAGCAAATAAGTGAATTCATTATAACTAAAGCACTAATTCTAACATTCAAAAGTAACAGCTTTCTTTACCTGGATAAAAGCAAGGTCACAACTATGTCTTACTGTTTACAAAATTAATGACGAAGGTAACTAACTCTGGCGGCTTCAAGAAATCTTAGCCCTCTGCTACTGGACGACGTATGAAAAATTTGAAATACGCTCTCCTTGTTTACAGTGTAGTGTGCACAGAAAGTCAAAGAAGGGACATTTTGAAGAGAGGTGGTTTTAATTGTATATACTTTACAGCCCGTTGTTAACCATCCCCGGCATTAGCTGCAAGTTTGTGGGTTTGTACTAAGCAATTTTTACGTTCTGTAGTGTGTCATTACTTTCAGTATCATACCATTAACCTATTTATCGATAGCAGTGTGTAAAATATTGTTTGTGTCAAAATCAGTGTGTATACTGGATGACAACGACCGGTAGTGTACCTAGGTGTAAATTACCAAGGATGTCTTGACAAACCAATCAATGTACTGAAGTAGGAAAGGATACACCACTCTGGAAAGAATCCCCAGCTTCTAGAGTTGTGGCCGATCGATAGGAAGCGGAACAGTGTACAATTACTCCCTACGGCAATATTTGTAACACTTTAGAGATTTATTGTACATGTTCCGGATGAATTATCAATCAGACGGAACACAGCCTTGTCGTTCGGGTGGGGTAGCGAATCAGGAGACAATCTCAGTATCACAAAGCAGGACAGCTGAGATGGATACGTTAGAAAAGAATACCATGGACATCAGGAAGAGAATAGAGATAAAGGAACAAATTATTGCATTACGTTGAAATCTGAACTTCAGAGAGGAAGCTCGTATAAGAAATGCATTGACAACAATGGTTCTGAATTGCCTTTTCGAGTGGGTCTTGCCAGTCTCACTCGCCATCGCCATGACTTGTGATTCCTCAATTTCCATACCGCTCATTATGCCACTGTTGTCTGAAAATACCACAGGGTGCCAGTAACAATAACAACAACACGCCAGGGAAAGAAAAGTATTCAGCTAAACGAGAACATCATTTAGCGCTGTGAGGACCAACCCACTCACCATACGTTTATTGAGTTGGTGAGGCGTGATCAATTCGCATGTGTAAACGCCGACAGGTTGAAGATTACACTGAAGAGTGTATTATGTAACAGTTTCTTCCTAGTGACTTCGCTTTTGAGATTATGCCGTTCCTATAAATAAACAGAGGGGGAACCTTTGAGGCCGTTAAATATTATGAATTAATAAGACACCTTTTTTTGGGGGAGGGGGGGGGGGTTCCTAGTTGGCCATGTTCTTAGTGCACTTGTATTCATGGCGAGGCGCAGACGCCGTCTGGACATGACAGGTTCAATTCCCGGGACGGTAACTATAGCTTTATTTTCTTATGTTGTCTAGTGTGTTCTTCTAACTTTCTACTTATTTCTATGAGTGCCGATCAATACACTTTCTGTTACTTGATTAATTGAGATTATGCGTGCGCAGCTGACATAGAAATACTGGTAACTGTTAGCTTTCAGCGTTACAGTTCTTTTATGTGTGATAGCATGCTATCTTTTCGCTAAATTAATACTCTTAACAATCTTTATATGCCGGTGAAACGTAAACTAGTGGCGTTTTTGTAATAAATAGTAGAAAATAATGATAAATAGTAAAATAATACATTTTTTTTTTTTGGCAGCTAAAAGTGTAACCGGTGATTACAACCCATATATACAAGCCTCTCGCTGGTTTATTTGCTACTCTTTACATTGCATAAGTCTCTTATGTGTTTCTGTCCCACACTAGTCTTCTGCTGGGTCCGCCCTAAACGGTGGTTGTCACGTTACATTGTGGTTTGCCTTTCAGCATCACAATTTTGATTTAAGTAAATTCTTAACTAGTAGCCTTTAAGGTTTGCTTCTTGGGACCACACAAATTAATACTCTAAACCACAGTCTTTGCAGAAGAACGTTTTCATGCCTGGAACTGAAAGTGTTAACATCACAAAACGATAGATAACTTGTAAAAATATATCAACTACACAAGAACACATTATAATCATTTACATAAGAAAACATTATAATAATTTACATTGCATAAGAACACATTCTTTTAATTTATGTTACATAAAAACACATTTTTAAAAATTTACATCACATAAAAACACATTTTAAAAATTTACATTTTATATGGACATATTATTTTTAGTTACGTTACCTAAGAACACATTATTTAAATTTACATTACATAAGAACACATTATTTTAATTTACATTACATAAGAACACATTATATACATTTACACTACATAAGAACACATTATTTTAATTTACGTTACATAAGAACATATTGGACTCTGGAAGGTCAGAGTAACTAACAATGATTGCTTGAAAGAGGCTAATAAAAGTAGATCTCTATACACAACAATAAGAAAGAAACTAACACTATTCTTTCGCTACATAATGAGAAAAAGCCACTGGAGAACATTGTGACAACTGGAAAGATCACAGATAAAAGCTGTAGATGCAAACCAAGAGAAATGAAGCTGGATGAGCTAAAAGGGCATGGAGGGATATCATCAAGAGAGCTGTTCCAGGCAACCATGGATCGTGATATGCGGAGATGCATGAGCGCCTACGCCAGTTGGTAGGGCACATAATGATGATTATGATCATGATGATGATGTAGAACACATTATATCAATTTATATTCTTGTTCGCTGGTCCGTAATGAAACAGTGATGCACTACTTGTCTGACAATAAAAGTGGTTAAATGCCCCATTAATTTTATTAAAGAAAGAATTCTTTTCACATCTCTGGCTAATGAGGTATATCGTTCTAGGCCTACAGTGTTATATACCAGTCGACACTCGGTGGATGATCTGATCTAAATTACAACTACCGTCTTTGCTTCCCATGACATTACAATGAACCCATTTAGCCAATGTGAATCTTGAGGCCAAGCTCAATTATGAACAACGAAATGTTATGTAATTGTATGTTATTACAATCGCTGTCATTGCACAATAGGCATACCCAGGTGTGCTCAGCCTGCGGTGCCGCAGCCACTCTGAGATACTTCTTCTGACTGTTCCCACGAAGAACTGGTTACAATATCCTGGCCTCGATGGCGACATGGACGAGCATCACCATTCTTTACTCCTATGACATACAATCGCTTGAATGTCAAAGAATTGTCATGTTCCCACTAATCCAGACCGGTTGTTCCAGACTGGGTGCCGCGGCAGCCATGGGTGCGGCGAGCGTAGACCAAGGGTGTCGTGGCAATAATCAAGAATGTTTAAAAATCTGCTTGGTATCAGTGAAGATAGCAGTTTAAAACAGAAATACTGTAAAGGAACCCAGGAAGAGTAATTAATGCAGGTGTATTTAGTAGACAATGATATTGGCAAGGCTGCAGTGCATTTTCAACGTACGTTTACACACACACACACACACAAAACAGATACAGGAGAAAACTTTCTGGGTCAAGTGATCTGAGGGTAAAATTAACTAAGCTTCCCATAAAGGAAATAATTAAAAATCCATCCAAACAGTTTTGTTCATCGCATTAAAGACATTTCGACATTAAATGTGCATTGTTTTTTCTTCTTTTCCCATGTATTCAAATCGCTTTAAGGGTAGGTGTGCCGAGAACAATTTTTTGCCGACAAGGGTGCCGTGGCGAAAAAAGTTTCAGAACAGCTGATCTAGACTATAGGAGTCCTAAACCTTCGGGCCGGTAGTACCGATGATATTTTTTTTTTTTTTTGGTAGTGCGTTTGATATTCTATTTTTGTAGTGCGGTTGATATTTTATTTTTGTAGTGCGGTTGATATTTTATTTTTTGTAGTGCTTTGATATTTTATTTTTTGTAGTGCAGTTGATATTTTATTTTTTGTAGTGCAGTTGATATTTTATTTTTTGTAGTGCGGTTGATATTTTATTTTTGTAGTGCGGTTGATATTTTATTTTTTGTAGTGCAGTTGATATTTTATTTTTTGTAGTGCAGTTGATATTTTATTTTTGTAGTGCAGTTGATATTTTATTTTTTGTAGTGCGGTTGATATTTTATTTTTGTAGTGCGGTTGATATTATATTTTTGTAGTGCGGTTGATATTTTCTTTTTGTAGTGCGGTTGATATTTTTTTTTTTTTGTAGTGCGGTTGATATTTTATTTTTTGTAGTGCAGTTGATATTTTTTTTTTTGTAGTGCGGTTGATATTTTTTTTTTTGTGTAGTGCGGTTGATATTTTATTGTTGAAGTACGGTTGATATTTTCTTTTGGTAGTGCGGTTGATATTTTATTTTTGTAGTGCAGTTGATATTTTATTTTTGTAGTGCGGTTGTTATTTTATTTTTGTAGTGCGGTTGATATTTTCTTTTTGTAGTGCGGTTGATATTTTATTTTTTGTAGTGCGGTTGTATATTTTATTTTTGTAGTGCGGTTGAAATTTTTTTTTTTTTTTTTTTTTGGTAGTGCGGTTGATTTTTTATTTTTGTAGTGTAGTTGATATTTTATTTTCTTATCAGAAATATTCATAGGTCGACTTAGCCTTTTAAACTGTGTGCTAGACATTTGTTTCCCAGAGACTTTTCATCAGTGTCTAGAACCAAAGCGGCCAGTAAAACTATAAATAAATGTGAATCTTCCTCTACGTGCTAGGCGTTGAATTTGGAAGTGATGGTAAAGGGCTTCTGTAGCTAGGGTTTTTCATTTCTAATGTTACTTAAGTTTTAAATATGCCAGTGAGCTTTGGAGACCCAGAGAAGACGAAAGTTGAACGTATTCAAAAATAAATGCACGCGGAAAAATATTTACATAAAAGGGGTTGAATTCAAGAAATCTGAAGAAAAAAAAAAAAAGAGATGGTTGGACTAGGATCAACAGTGTTGTTTGGACTAGGATCAACAGTTTTGTTTGGACTAGGATCAACAGTTTTGTTTGGACTAGGATCAACAGTTTTGTTTGGACTAGGATCAACAGTTTTGTTTGGACTAGGATCAACAGTTTTGTTTGGACTAGGATCAACAGTTTTGTTTGGACTAGGATCAACAGTTTTGTTTGGACTAGGATCAACAGTTTTGTTTGGACTAGGATCAACAGTTTTGTTTGGACTAGGATCAACAGTTTTGTTTGGACTAGGATCAACAGTTTTGTTTGGACTAGGATCAACAGTTTTGTTTGGACTAGGATCAACAGTGAAAGGAGAAAGTCTGCATTAGACCAATGTTGTATAGTCAGTACACACTAACGTAACCTTCATAACCTACCCAAGTTGGAAAACGCGTAACTTCATAATCATTATGTGCTGCAGTCCTCAAAAATAATGTGCTGCAGTATGGCTACTTTTGGAAGGATGAGGCAAATCTGGAAATCCAACAATTACTGCAGAGGAACGAAACTCCGACTCTACAAGAGCATCATTTTGCCAGTTCTTCTTTATGGAGCGGAATGCTGGAGAATGACCAAAAAGGATGCACACAAGCTGTCCACCTTCCACCACACATGTCTACGTAGAATTATCAAAATGTTCTGGCCAGATACAATTTCAAACACTAAACTACTTCAAGCCACAAACCAAGAAACTTTAGACAGTATGATTACCAAGAGAAGATGGAAATGGCTTAGCCACGTTTTGAGAATGACTTCTGATATACCTGCCAAAACAGCTCTCACATGGACACCAGAGGGAAAGAGAAAACAGGGGCGCCTAAAAACAACATGCAGACGAACGATGGAAAGTGACCTGAGTTCGGCATCTGACATGGAAAACTGCACTGAAGATTGCACAGGACAGGAAAGCATGGAAAGTCCTCTCTGAAGCCGCATGTGCCACTAGGCATAACGAGAACTGATGATGATGATGATGATGATGATGATGGCTATATTGCTGAGCTGGGTTTCCAGAATTGTTAGCGGTGCTTTCTTAATATCCTACACCAAACAGGGGAGAAAGTCTGCAGTAGACCAATGTTATATAGCCAGTAAACATGGGCATAACCTTCATAACCCACCCAAACTGGACTACGCGTTACTTTCTAATCATTATGTGCTGAACCAATATAACTGTGAAGTATGGCTATACTGCTGAACTGGGGTTTCCAGAATTGTTAGCGGTGCTTGCCTAATATCCTACTCCAAACAGGAGAAATCCACAGGTCACAGGACAGTCTAATATTTAAGGGGGTGGTAGATAGGCTGCATGCAGTCGTGGGACCTAGGCTACATGCAGTCGTGGGACCAAGGCTGCACTCTCTCGAGGGACGTAGGTGGGTTGGGGTTAGGGCCAGTTATAGATGTTTTAGTGTGGTTAAAAGCGTAAGAAAGCCGGGAAACCCAGTCTTGACATCCTTTAAAACGTTGGGCTGTCCTGTGACGTCATCTGTGGGTAGGATATTACGAAATAACATTGTTAGCTGTTTGATTCTCATTATTGAGATAATAATCCCACAGAATGCTTATCTAGACGGGGGAAAACTTTAAAAAAAATAATGTTAGCTCTGAAAATTAGACAATGCGGCGTTTTTGTACGCTGCTAATTGGCAAACAATGAGTAGCATTGGGAAACGCCTCAACCATCCCTGGAGGCACTGGAGTTGTTAGTACTGCAGTAAAACATTGGCTTCTCATTCAGGAGAACCAGGTTCAAATCCTCAGTAACATGACTGAAAAACAAAAGAACTTATTCTGCCAATGACAAGCATGTTATAGAAGGACTTTGTCTTTTAGCTTTACTCCATCCAGTTAATCAGTCCTGCAAGCCATTTCACGCCTTAACAGGGCAGCATCAACTTTAAAGATCAGAATGTTGTCCACAAAAATAGAACAAGTCTAGCAGTGAATTGCAGATATCTGATAAGCCCTGGAAATGAAAGCTCTGTATTTCTATAGCTTGCGAAGACCAAAGGGAACTTCAGACAGCATATTCTGTCTCAGAGCTTTCAAATAACAACGAATCTCCAATCTGTGAGGTTGAACTAGAGACAAGACAACAAAAATTACAGACCCTCGCATGTTGTAATGCGAGGAAATAAAGACGATTTTAAAACAAGGCCATTTTATTGTTTGATTACAGAAGGTATATTTTAAGGTAAGGAACAGACTCGTGAATTTTGTGGCAACTAGTTAAACTGATAGAGGCAGGACAGGAAGAAAGCAGAGAGAAAAGAATATCTTGATGGCTTAGCCACACGCTTCGAGTGGGACAACAGCACCGCCTGATCATGCATTTTGCTGTATGCGTAGGATAGCGAATTATGACCGCCGAAGGTTTTCGGCGTTTCACATGATGATGATACTTCCAGGAGGATGGGGCCACTGATGGATTTGTGTGTGTGTGTGTGGGGGAGGTGGCTCTAAAAAGGGTGGGCCCCACAACTTTAGAAACACTGGGCTAGACGCTCTCCTGTCGGTCCCAAGGCCTTGCATACAAATGCAAACCAAGGCGATTTATTTCAAACTTCCCATGGACTCCAAGATGGACACCGCTTACAGTGTCTACCTGCTGATGTTGGAGACGAAAATTTAGCCGGCCTTATGTTGATCAAATGAATCATCCAGTGTCGCACTGTCTATAAAGATATGTCTAGCACTGGTGTCAAAGTGTTCTTTAGTTTCCTTGACTTTATCCACACTAAAGTCACAACTGGCTTAGCATGGAAAGATACAGCGCAGCAACCCTCTGCGCCTGTCTGATATGGTCATTGCACAGCAACAGAGATAGCCTGATATGCCAACTCTAGAACACGCAACATATCAGTAAATGTCAATATTAGTGGTCGAATAAAGTGCACTGTTAGAGAGAGAAAAAAACAAACAGATTATTTGTTCATCTAGGCAAAAGCATCTGTTGTGCTTAAACAGGCAGGTAAAAGGAAAGCTGACTGCTATACCTCTAAATGACAAAAAACTGGCACCCAAAAAATGAAAATAGCTGAGGAAGCGGTAATGAGAAATGTAAAATAAAGTTATGAGCCCTCTGAGCTAACAGTGTCTGTCATAACCCCCCCCCCCCCACCCCCCTCTTTTTGTCCTCAGTCATAACTCTCTCTCTCTTAGAATGATTTAACAATTATCACGTGGCGACATTGTTAAAATAAAAATAGATAAGAAATGAGAACTTTAAAATAATATTTTAAGCTCTCTCAGTTAACAGTGTCTGGCATCAACACCCCCACCACCCGCCCCGTGACAATCATACAATCCTCTACGAAGTATGGAAAAGTCATTGCCTGACGAAATATTGTTGTTAAATTGAGCTTGGCATCCGTGTCCACCCAGACTAAAATGGGTAGCATTAATCTGTACTGAGAAGTAAATGTGGCCAGTGTAACAGCTACCACATCACCCATCGAGTATCAGTACTACAGCTACAACTACTACCACCACCATCCCAACAACAACACAAAACGGTCACTACTGTCTGTACATGTCGTTGTAGCCAGAGGAGTTGGCACCGCATGCTGTCGCCACAGACTGTTTAGTTTAAGTGTGCCCCCGACATAAAACTGCATCACCTAACCAGTGGTGGAAACCACAGTAATATTCCGTGATTGAGGGAAAAAGTACTCACAAAAAGCGGAAATAAAAAATCGCACTCGTCATCTCTCCCTCTCCGAAGGAACGATGTTTAATTAACTTTGGCATCCGTGTTAACCCAAACCAAACTGGACCGTAAGCCATCTTAGTTAACAGTTTCTGTCATCAACGAATAGTTGTTGATCGAGTGAAGCGCCGGGAGGGGGGGGGAAGGCTAATTTGGACTTAAATCGGATGACTTTGGGCGTAAGGCGCAGATATCGCAACCTAGCTGTTAACCACAACACAACGTGCCAACCGAACCTCTAGGGAAAAAAGAAAAAAATTAGCACCCAGCGGGAAATCAAACACCGGTCATCCGCGTGAAGAGCGGAATACTTACAACTCTACTACCGAAGACTGAAGACTTTAGGTCAGATATCGCAGCCTAGCTGTAAACCACAACACAACGTGCCAACCGCCCTCTCACTAGCGAACGAATATTACCCGTGACATGAACATTAAGCATCACGTTGCCGCTATCGCAGGCTAGCTGTAAACCCCAAAATCGAGCCGGCAAAAAAGGCGTAGATATTGCAGCCTAGCTATAAACCACAACAAAACGTGGCAGTCACCCAGTTAGGGCTTCCCCCCCCCTCCGCCCCCCCCGCCCCCCAATTAAAAAAAAAATTATATCACCCAGTGGGGAATCAAACGCCTATCGCGTGAATGGCCAAATGCTTACAACTAGCTACGCTAACAACTATTCAAGTATTTAGCAGAAATGAAATTATATAATAACGGGAAGTTCGGTGTTACACACAGAGTCAAAGGTGGCGAACAACTAAAACAAATCAGTGCCGGCAATGAAACCACTAATGAAATGATCGTGGCTGATTTGTGCAAAACTCATAAATACAAACACGCGCGGAGTCTAAGGCAACGTTGTGTGAAAATTTGAAAGCGATCGGTAAAGAAATGTTGGAGATTGATCCTGGGGGGAAATGCGTCTATTGCCAGCCCTGCTCAAGCAGTCGAAGGTGGCCAATCAACTAAAAACAAATCTGGGCCGCTAACGAAACAAATAATGATGACCGTTTCTGGAACTACATCGTTCGTGGTTTGTGAGATTTTATGACCCCAAAAAAAAAAAAAAAACATGCTTTGAGTCAAAGGCAACGTGTTGTGAAACAATTGAAAGTAATCGGTTAAGTAGTGTCCGAGTCTACATTTAGGAAACTCGGAAAATTAACATTGTTATTAATATAGATTCGGAATATTACAGTTGCAAGATAACTTGCTGTGAATTGTATTGCTCTATATGAGTTTTCATTCAAGTCAATCTAAACATTAGCATTCACAGGCAGTGATTGATTGTGTATAAAAATGTTAGTTGCTGACAGATAAAGGGGTCCACCCATGACTTATATAAGGTTAACCCATGCTGAACATATTGTCTTAGGTTTAACATCGAAAAAGAAAAAAAAAAAGAAAAAAAGGTGGGGGAGCGGGACAGGGAGGTCTTCATCAGAGGCCAATAGTGCTTACCTGGTATCGGGTTAGGGTTAATTGTCCAGCCAGCCAGCCACGAAACGCAGTGCGCATTCTTTTTAAAAGTCATCTTAAAAAAGCTTACGAGAGACACATCTCGGCTCTCGGGAAGCCTAACATGAACGTAACGGGCCATATTTCTTCCTGAACCTCT